CTTGCACAACTTTCCTGACACTTCCTCCCAAAGGCTCCTAATTAAATTGTTGTGTGTTGGTGTTCTGTTTTTGTTTTCTTCTCTTAGTGATGGTTCATATGCCTACGAGTCAGTTCCTTGGCAACAGAGTACCAATCAGCCCGCAGGATCTCTCTCAGTGGTAACCACTGTGTGGGGAGTCAGCAACACATCCCAGAGTCAGGTATCTCTTGCAGCCTTCCAAAATCATGAGGTGGGACAGAATGGCAGTTGGGGTGGGGAGGAGAGGAGAAGCGGGCTGCTTGGGCTGCCCAGTCCCACGCGTTGTATTAAATAGACCCTAGAAGAAAGTGTGCTGTATCCCGTGCTGTCCATCTGCCAGTGGAACAGAAACCTCTGCTGGAGCAGAATCCCCCTCTTACCCGCAGAACACATTTGAGAGGTGGGTGGGGTATGTGCCGCATGAAGAGCAAGCAGAAGTCAGAGCGCATGAGCAGAAGCCTGCTTGCATGGTGTAGGAGGGAGACCGATTCTGCTCTCTGTATGGGGGCCGCTCCCGTAGAGAAGATCCTGCCCACGAGGGCTCCAGATCTTGTGGGGAGGCTTTGGCAAGATGCCTCCAGGGGCTTCTCCCTGAATTGCCCCACCTCCCTTGCTACTTCCTGTTGCATTGCCCTGTCCTTATTTTATATTTGGATGTATTATATTTTAATTTTATGTTGTGAGCCGCCCCGAGGCTTCGGCGAATGGGGCGACATAGAAATGTTTTAAATAAATAAAAAAATAAATAAGCACTGCTTGGAAGAGGAGAACACAGTGAGTGGCGGCTGCTGTTCCTTCTTCTTGCTCCTGCTGCTGCTTGCTTACCTTCCACTCACTCTTGCTAACTCCTCCAGCCTTGCCAGTTCAGTTCCTCTGAGTCCGCTGCATGTTTGTCATTACTTTGCGTTAGGCTTCTAAAAGCACAAGGCTAAGCATGTTTACTCAGAAGCAAGGCTTCATCCTATACACGCTTACTTGATACTAAGCACCATAGGGCCCTCAAAAAATTCTGCGTTGAGCATGTGCTTGGAAGCTTCATACTACTTAATTCTGCAGGTTTTTATCTCACCTTTCTGCTCTTTTGTCCTTTGCTCAGACCTTCAGGTTCATTAAGCCAAGTGTAGTTTCCTGCAAGCCTGAAGTCTCCTCACCATTCCCCAATTCAGTAACTATGCCTCAGATGAAGATGTTGTCCAAAACACTCTGCAGTACTTCCTTGCTTCCTCATACTGTTCCTCTCGGCCTGTGACCCTCTGCAGGTTTTTGGAAACCCCATGGGCCCTGGGGGAAACACCTCTGGCAATCCCATGATGCCCAGCGTGGCCAGCAGTGGCTCTGGAATGAGTTCACCCCAGTTCATGGGACAGCAACCTTTCCCTGAGGGCTCCACTGGGAAGGGCTACGTGCAGCCAGGGATGTACAGTCGCAGCACTTACCCTGGTGGGCCAGGCTTCACCACAAGGTAAGTTCTAGGGACCCAGTCTGTTCTTTATCCAGCACAGTTACCTTGAGGACGGGGGCCAGGGGTGCGCCAGCCCTGGAGCTGCCATATGTAACTGTCCTCTCCTTGGGACCAGTGGAGGGTAAATTTAAATGGAAAAAAGTTAGCACAAGGTGCATGGGACGGGGGAGAGAATATAAGAAGAGCTATGCAGGATTAGTCCAGGTGCCCATGTAGCGCAGCGTTCTCTTCACACCCTGGCCAACCGGTTTCCTGTAGCACCTGAGTGCAAACATTACCTTCCCTGCCTGTGTTCCCCAGCAACTGGTAGTATAGACATACTGCCTTTGATACTGTGGTGGCATGTAGCAATCAGGATTAATAGCCATTGGTAGCCTTGTCCTCCATTAATGCTATACTGCATAGAGAACCTGCAGCATAGATGCACAAACCTTCCCGCCTGCCAACATAAGGCCCATAGTGCAGACATGAAAGCTGTTTCTGAAGCAAGCAGTGTATATGCTTCATTTCTGGCATACGTGCATGACATGCAGCTGGCAGCAGATACCAGCCTGGAAGACAGAGGTGTTCCAGCCTCCATGAGAGAAAAGGGGGAATGCCTGCTTTGAGGTGTGCTTGCTGCCTGCTGTTTTGAGAAGCATCTGAACTACAAAATCCGTCTGACTTAATTGGAGCCGCCATTTTAGTCATGGGTATGATGCAGGGGAACAGTATGATGCATCCCCTTTGAATTTAGAGGAACTTTTTATGTTTGAGCATACAGGTAACAAATTGCATTGTAAAGAGCTATTTAAACTTCAATTGCCAATCCCTGCCTGCCAAAAGCTAGTGCCCTTGAGATGCGCTAGGCTGCAGCTTCCCCGCCAGTATGGCCATGTTGTCTGGAAAGGATGGAAGTTGTAGTTCAACACACCTGCACAACACCAGATTGGGAAAGGCTGTTCTGCACAATTACTTGAGAACAAGTCATATGGTACCCGGTGGGATTTAATTTCTTAATAAACATGCCTAGGTTTGTGTTGTTAATTAATCAAACTAAAATTATTGCTACCATAATTAAATATTGTCATTTCTAAAACCAGGAAAGAATTCCTGTACACAAACATTTGGCAGAAAAGTCACATTTGTACCAAATTAGGCATGCTTGAGCCATTTGCAGTCTCACTGGTTTATTTGTCTTATGTTTAATTTCTACCCCTTCTGAAACCCTAATAAAACCAGGAAATAAAATACCTAGTTCAAAGTGCTATCTTGAATGTCATGTTTTCCCACGCCACTTCCCAATGGATGCTTAACCCCAGCTGTTAAAATCTTTCTAACTTAAACAAGGAGGTCTGCAGGCATTGTTTAAATCAGATTTTTCCCCACCCAATCAGAAAGCTTGGACTGCAATTTCAAGTTAGTTGGGAAGTTATAGTCCAACACATTTAGTACGGGAGTTATAGTCCAACACATTTAGAGAGCACCAGGTTGAAGAAAGTTAGTTTAAATAGTAAATTCACAGTAGTAAGGGGGGAGCAGTTGCTGCCAAAATAAGCAAGGTTCTGCTGATTTTATGTGGTTCCTCTTTTCAGGAACGCACAGATCTTATCCATCATTCCCTGCCTCTTCTTTTTACCAACAGAAGCGTCTTCCTTTAGGGTTCTAAAACAGGTGATAGTGAACTTTTAAAAGGAAAAAAACAATTTGTTTGGTAGCCCTTTCACATGTATATCAACCCTATTTGTGATGGGAGAATGTGACTGGGTGGACTGCTGAAGTGCTGAGGCATCAGAAGTGTGCTACTAGTTGCAAGAAGAATCATCCCCTTCCTACTGACCCTGACCCAGGGGCAGGGGTGTCTGCATGTGCGTTTGCATGTGTGCTGCCAGCTCATGGCCACCAGTACCAGTTGCCTGATGCCCTAGACATTTCACCCTTGTAGCATCATGCCCCCCTGCCTGGGCCTCCCTTCTCATCTCTACAGGTTCTGGCAACAACTCCCTCAGGCTGAAAGCCCAGCCGGAATTTATATCCTTGAGGTATTTTGGGCTATACCTCTAACATCAAGAGCATGCTGGCTGGGGGTAATGGGAGTTTTAGTCCAGCACATGTCAAGGGTACCAAGCTGGGGAAGGCTGCCCTTGTATCCATATTCTATACAGAGGAAGGGAGGTTCAGGTACCCAATAGCTGCCGGCACCTTCAAAACTGGGTCTAGCAACTGGCATCTTAGAGGACAGGAAACTCTGCATGTCATCCTGTCATCTTGTCTGGATCCTAAATTTTGCAGATTGCTTTTCCCCACCCCTGACTTTTCAGTTATATTAGCATTTTTTCCTGTGGCTACTTGCTTCATCCTGGCCAGGGGCTGAATGAGTGCGCATGCCCCATAGTTCATAAAAGAGCAAAGTGGGGAGACACGAATATGGTAGCCAGTTATGGTTGGTGTACTTGGAAGAATTTGTTTATGCTTATAAACACATGTTTAGCTTTTCTATCTATAGCCCCACCCCCCTAGATAGGCAACTATATATAAACATAATAATTCTGTCTCAAAACTGAATAGAAAAAAAATCATATCTGGGCACTTAGAGAAGCAGGTGCTCACATTAGCTGTTCCCCATTTCCCAAAGATCATCCATCCAGTACTTTTGATCCCGTCCCAAAATCAGTGTTCGGTCCTCAGATTCACAAGAGGTTGACAAGAATGTTCCCTAGTAAACTTTGCTGAAGTCTGATTATTTGTTGTTGAAGTTCTGCCTTACAGACCTGCTTTTCCTACATCTTCTCTGCCTTCTCATCCAACCCCAGCTCTAAAAGTCTCCTGAATTACTAGCACCCCTCAAGCTGGCCCAGTTTGGTTGCATGGACCAAAAGCAGCAGCAGCCAGTGATCATGATCTAGCCAAGACTTGCTAAATTGGGCAGATGTGTCACACTGCAGCTCCCATCAGCCCCAGCCAGAATGTTCAGGGCTCATGATGAAGCTGGAAACATCCGGAGGGTACCTAGGTTAATGATGACGCCTGTGACTTGTTATTTCCCAGACCGAAGTATCAAGCCATGATATGAAGTATCAAGCCATGATAGTAATACATGAGCTATTGGCCCAGTTTGTGTGTCACAACAAATCTAGGTTCTGACGGTGGGTTCTCTGAGAACCCAGATTCTCTAGTTGCCACACAGCCAAACAACGGAGAGAAGACTGTTGCCGGGTTGTTTGGTGTCTGTCGCTTGCAGCAGGAGGCACTGGGAATGGGAGGCAGCTCACTCACCTTCTCCTCCCTTCACATCAGTCCAGGTTTTAAAAACTCCCTGGATAGCTGTGTGCTGTGATGACACATAGATGTTTTTTGCTGTTTTTTTAACAGAGGAAAGCAGTCTAAATATAGCCTTTCCACAAGTTCCTAAGAGACTTGGAAGATCAGCGTTCGCAGGCCTTGCATACAAAACCCCACGATTTCTTCATTTCATCAGCATAATTAAGGGGCTGAGAGTCATTTTGTTGCTGCTTTGATCAATAATCACCCATTTCCTCTCATTCACCCTGAGATCTTCCTATGGATCCAAAGCTACTGTCTTCCTACCTCTGAAAGAAGGCATATTTACTACCTTGCCTGTAATCCTCCTCTTCTCTCTAGTTACACAGGCAGCCCAAATGGCCCTGGGGGAATGGGCATTCCTTCGCACACTGGGAGACCCCCTGCAGACTTCACCCAAGCAGCTGCTGCTGCTGCTGTTGCGGCTGCCGCCGCCACGGCCACCGCCACGGCCACCGCCACGGTTGCCGCCCTGCAAGAGAAGCAGAGCCAAGAACTGAGCCAATATGGAACGGTAAGTTAGGGGCCGTGATCTCAGTGCGCAGCACTTCTTCAGCATGCTTCGGGATGCGACTTGGTGTCTTGTGGAAGGTGTAGAAAGGAGTACCATCTGTTTAAATATTGTGATTCAAGTCTAAGCAGCAATTTCTTCAGAGTACGATGACATCTTCCCCCTGGGGGATAGAGGATGGGAGGAGCAGTGGTACTGCTCTGGCTGCACACCTGGCAGCATCTGGGTTTAGTTGCAGTTTTAGGAAGATGTGAGAAAGCCTTGCTTGGAATGCTGCTTATCACAGCCTCCTCCTGTGGGTGCCATGCATCCGTGTCTCCCTCAGCCTTCTGCCTGGAAGGGGGCTGCTCCCTGTTTGGCCTGGGGGGCTTTCTCAGCCTCCAGACTCTTCACTTTCTCCTCTAGGAAGGACAGCAGCTTGCACCTAGTGCAAGTGTATCCCTGCCCTTCCTGACGGAGAAAGACAAACATGGCACAGGTGTCGCAGCTGACAGCAACACCTGTGGCAGCAACACCTGTGGCTCCCACCATGGCCGACTCGTGGCCTGACATAGCCCACCCCATGCAGGCCCGAGCTCCATCCCCCACCTTGTCTGTCAAAAGCGAAATGAACAATTGTCAACAATGACCCCAGGGAAGAGAGCCCCTGGGCAGCCTGGGCCGCAGCTAAGGGACCGAAGATGAGGGACAATGCCCTTTGTGTTCCTTTTCTTTTTAATGAGATACCTGGGATTGGCCCGGACAGCTTCTGCACGCAGAGCATGCACTCTGTCACTGCACCTTCCATCTGGGTCCTCTCAGACAAGTCTTTCTCACACCATCACCCTGCATCCTTTTCAGAATTTGATGGAGGATCCAGAGGATTTCATCTTCCACTCATAGCCCTCCCGTGTTTTCCCACTGCTTCTTTCATCCTTTTTTCTTAACAAAGAATTTTGTTAAGGATACAAAGATGGAATTGCTGCCCAGTAACTTTTGTTTTACCCACACTCAGAGCGCTGCATCTATTAGTGCTCACTGTCTTTGCACCTGATAGACCCTGGCATCCCAAGTGCTACAGAATAGCCTGCAGGGACAAGGAAGGGGCTGACTGAGAATCAGGATCCCTGGCAATCCCAGAATGATTTCAGTTTTCTTAAAATCTTCCCTCTGAATGAGGCTGATGCCGTCCTCACCAGGGAGCAGCAGAATGGTCTGGCTTTGTGATGCAAAATAAGATCCAGAACAAAGGCATAGATTAAAGATGCATTTTCACAAAAGGAATCTTGGTGCAGTTGAACTGGCAACTGCACACTAAACCTCGTTTCCAGGAGCTTCTGGCTCAACCCATGGCCATCCTTTCCTTGACTGATAGAGGTATCACAGAAGGTTTGAGAAAGACTCGACTCTCTTTTACAGGATGGCTTTGCAGTGGGAGGTGCCTTCTTGGCTTCTAGGCACTGAGGGGGCCTTCGATGGCTTCCTACCAAGAGGGGCCATGCTTCCAACAGGGAATGCTTCTGGGTAATGAAGGCTAGTAGAAGCCTGCTGCATACGCATCCAAAACAGGTTTTTGACTACTTGAAATGGAACCTGAGAGCCCTGGGCCAAGATGTATCCCGTAAGCCAGAGAATTGGTTTGCACATAATGCTAAACTGACCTTTTCCAGCTCGGTGCCCTCCAAATGTGCTGGACTACAAGAGCCATCACCATCAGCCAGCCAGACCATGATGGAAGTTGTAGTCCAAACAGGGCATCCGTTTGGGAGAAGCTGCTATAGAGCAAGCAGCAGCAGGGATGGAACTGTCATCCAACAGACCCAAAGGACCAAGCTGGGAAAAGCAGCAACAAACCAGAACTTTGCTTTTCCAAAATGGGCCAAATCTCTATCCTTCCTTATTTCTCTGCCGTGCACAGAGAAGAGGACTTCTCTTCTGCTAAGCATTAGCAACTTGCTTGGTCTTGAAGCTGGGTGCAGTGTGAGCACTCCATCCAGCCTGCGTGGAATTCCTTCCACTCGGTCAGGTGCAATTATTTTATTTTACTGTTTTTTAAGCCATGAAGACTCCCCACCACCACCTCCACCACCACCACCACGTTGGGCAGCAGCTTTTTTAGGACCAGCTGTAAAAATGTGCAAGCTCCCAAGTTCTATAGAACTCTTCCTCGGGCTATATCAACAAAAAGCCAGGGGTGAGGGGGACAGAACTGCAAAGTGCAGAAGTGTCCGGATGTTTTGGCCATGAGATCTGAAATGTTTATAGACCCAGTTTCAAAATGGAGATTTGCAGTCTGAATGAATTAATCAGTGGTAGATCTTGCAGGATTCAGATTGTGCCAAGCAATGTATCTGGAGAGGAAAGCAGTAGCTGATATCCATTTCTGAAAGCACAAAGGCCGACTGTAACCATTATCTGACTCTTTCCGAGCAAAACATGCATGTTCCTGAGTTGGCATGCCAGGCCAGTGCTTGCAGTACAAGACTACTTTGATAGGCATGTGGGGATGGTGAACAATGCAGAATTCACTGGTAGGACAAGGACTGGGCATCGGTTGTATCTTTTCACACCCACACACACACACCATTTCCATAGGTGTGGGTTTGCATCATGATGCGTTAATCTTCTTTCTTTGCCTTGCTTTGCAGATGGGGGCCGGGCAGGCGTTCAATAGCCAGTTCCTTCCTCACTCGGGGTCCAGAGGACCAGCTGTGCCACCGGGGATGAATCCTGCCAACATGGGCGGTGTGATGGGAGCTTCTGGGATGCCTCCCATGAGCATGAACACGGCGAGGGCTCCAGCGATGAGTGCAATGTACGGTGGACAACGGATGCCCCAGCATGGATACCCTGGCCCTCCGCAGGGTCAGCAGATCCCCAGGCAAAGTGTCAAGAGGACCTACTCCAGTGAGGTGAGCATGGCCGGGGCATCCATTTTGAAGGCACCAGGGCCCTGCATACATCTGAGCTGTCCACCTGGCACTAGATGCGCATGGAAAACAAACAAGCAAATGCTTGGGCCCAGTCCTAGGAAGGAGTGTTAGAGCTGGGAACAGGAATGTTATTTATTGGCATTACAAGGCAATGTACGTATAATCATTTAAAAAATGAACAATAAAACTGAAACCTAAACAGCAAGTGAACACGAACATTAAAAACAGAAAAACATTAGAGCACTTAAACATTACCTCACTGAAAAATCTAACCTAAAAAGATGTACTTCAAAAGCCAGGAAAAATGGGGGAAATTGTAATTCTTAGGAGCACATTCCACAGTTTGGAAGCTACACAGGAGAAAGCCTTTGCATCCATGCCTGTCAAATGGGCCTCTGCTCTCAAGAAGTCCTCTCCTGAGATCTTAACAACTGGGCAGGTTTATAGCAAGACAGGTGGTCCCTTAGGTAGGTTCTAAGTCATTTAGGGTTCTAAAGTCTAAAGCCAGCACTTTGAATTGTGTCTGGAAGGCAGTTCGCATCTAGTCTAGGACCTTCAAGGCAAGTGTAATAATGGTCCCAATACCATTGTACCAGTTAGCAGCCTAGCTGCCACGTTTTGCATCTGCTGAATCTTCTGGATAATCTGTGGGGCAGTCCCATGTACAGCAACTGCAGGAGAAGGGGGCGGCAGAGGATGCGGTGGCTAGCTGGAGTCACTGGGGCAGTGGGTGTGGGCTTGGGTGGACTCCCGGGGATGGTGGAGGACAGGAGAGCCTGGAGGAATGTTGTCCATGGGGTCACGATGGGTCAGGCATGACTTTGCAACTAACGACGACAAAACGTGAGGTACCCAAGTCAGGGCAGCTGTTGCCAAGTCAGACATTTCTTTTTCAGACTCTCTGCTGAGCAGTGTAGACTCACAGAATTCTCAGGAAGGTGTTACAACTGCAAAAAGGATTTTTATTTATGTGCTAATAACTGCCTCATTTGATAAAAAGCCATCAAGCATTTTTTAAAAGTAAAACTTTAACACACTTTTAAAAAACAGTAAGCTTTGTGTTCCTGCTGAGAAGTGCTGAATTTTCAGGGCTGCAGATTTGTTGAGTTCGATTTTCCTCCAGACTCAGGATGTGGAATAGAGCAGAGCAGCGGCATTCTCCCACTTCTGCTGGATTCCTACGCATACAAGCTTACAAGCCATGTTGGCAAGTGCTAATGCTGGATCCGTTGATTCTACTAGGATAAGGCAGCTATATATTTAAACAACTGTGATCAAAAGAGAAGAACTCCCACAGCTACTTTAACCTTATCCTGTCCCCAGCCCAGCCCAGCCCCAGGTCAAATCCAGCTACGAGCAAACGTATCAAAATCAGAATGAACTTCCAGGTGAGATGCAGTGTACTTGGTGGAGTTTCAGAGAAGGATCAGTCCCGAAGAACACAGACCGCCCCTTCTTAGCCTCCATTCCAGTTTCGCCAGGCGGCCGTGCAAAGGGTGGTGTGGCTCGTGCATATGCGCACATCCCTGTGTCTGGGTGCACTGGCCAAACGGGGTGAAAGCCGCAGGAGGTGGGAAATGGGAGCAGAGTGAGGTGAAGTGCCATGCTGGACTATCTATACGTTACACCACCTTGCATAAAAGCCTTGACTGCCACCCGCTCCCTCCTTTTCCTTGCCCAGCCATGTCTTGCCAAAACCTACTGCTGTGCAGAAATGTTGGGACCGTGCTGACGGGGCAGCAGAAGTGACTCCAGCCATCAGCAGCCTTCCACCGCTGCTGCCCCCACTAGCCATTCCCTTCATCAGCAGGCGACGGAGTTCTGCGTGAGAGAGGTGCCGCAACAAGCACCTTTCCTTGCGCGGAAGAGCTGCATGTGAGGGAGGAAGCAAGGTCATGCTCACTGATGCCACAGGTGTGCCGTTTAGTGTGTTGGTGCTCAGACAATAACCGCAGCCTTGTGCCCCAGTCTTTTGGACAAGCAACTTGTCCTTTATGGGCTAGGCGCATCTTCCACAGCAGTGTTCCATAGCAGTGCCCACAACCATTTCTCCAGTGGCCAAACGTCCCTACAGAAAGGTTGCCCAGCCCAGCTTTGTGCACACAGGAGAGCATGTCTCTCTTTTCTGATTCAGTAATACGTGGCCTTGGTTCTTCTCCCTTCTCTTCGTGTCTCAGGGGTATCCAGGACAACAGTACATGCAGGGAGGCCAGTACCCTGCCCAGGCTGGACAATATGCTGCTAACGCCCCTCAGCCATCTGCTCCTTCCCCCTCCTACCCTGGACACAGGATGCCCATGCAGCAAGGAATGAGCCAGTATCTTTCTGCTTCTGGCACTGGTGGCCCATATTACAAGGTAAACAATTACTGGGGTAACAGCATCTCAGGATTTTCTGTGGAGGTGTGAAAAACGTTCAGCCTTTGTGGAGAGAAAGAGAATCCACAATAGTAATGACAAAACTGTCAGGAGAAGATCCTAGGTCAGAAGAAAGGAGGTACCTCTCTTTGGTACAACCTACAGCAAGGAAATGTGTTGGCATTTCCGTCTCTGGCATTTGTCCTTTCTATTGGTCTTTTCCTGCTTTATTAAAAGTGGCAAACCCCTGGCTTTATCGTGCACTTAGGTGTGTTGATTTGGGTGGCCGGGAGGTGGGTCGTTGCACCAATTTGCCTCATGGGAATCAGGTCCTTTGACATTGGCCGTTCCCAGCACAGCAGGCCTTGCTGCAGGTGGGCAGTCTTCTCCTTGTGGAAGTCATTTGGTGAGAGTGCTGATGATTCCCCTTCTCCATATTCCAAATGCGCCCCCTCGCCCAAGAGCCCAAGTGCCCCCTCACTCAGTGTAATTGCTCTGGCACGAAGCAGGCAGAAAGAAGGCGCTACACCTGCACTCAGACACCCACCTCCCACATACACACCGCCCAAGGGTGCGCAACAAGGGTTGGCAGTGTGGCCACAACACCAGTGCACTGCCTTTGATGCCTGTCAAAGTGCGCTACCCCTCCCACTGCTTGAAAAAACACAATATTCTTATTGGCAGCTGGGATTCCTGTGAAATAGATTTTTTGTCAATGATAAAACTGGTTTCAAAGGAATTGTTTCATATTTTGGGACTCAGAGACCCACCTCTATCATGTTCTCAAATTTTGAGGCAGTTCACTTGTCCTTTACTTCTTCTCCCATGGCAGCCAATTTGTAGTGGTGCCCAGAACAGTTTTCAAATTACCAAATATGCCCACAGTCCCAAAAGCTGGCCTACCCTGGTATACACTAAAAGTAGCACAGATGTGTTCCTATGGCATAGTCTCAGGGCACAGGATACAGCAGTCCTCCCAAAAGGAAACAAGTGTGGACTTATTCAGAGCCTGGAATAAGTCCTGGATTGCTTGGGAATCCCTGAGTTCCATGAGGAAGATGAATGTGCTATTTTTATTTTTTTTAGAAATGAGAATCCCAAACAGGCTGGCGAAATTCATTGAAATCACTTAGTCAGTGACAGCCAGATACCAACCAGAAGACGAAAGACATCCTCTCTCACCTGGTACCAGCCAGACTACAACTCACAATGCTCCTGTCATTGGAACTTGTTGACTGGGAGAGATGGGAGTTGACTGGAGGGAATCGGTTTGGGGAATGTCACTGTCATGAAGGTTGAGGGGAAAGGTAGTATTATTGGAGAGTGGGATATAAATGGAATGAAAGAACAAAGGAATGGTTTAAAAAATTGTAAGTATATTGAGGCAGTTTCTGCCACAACAGTCAAGATGTCTGCAAGCCCAGATTTTTCTGACAACTAATGGTTTTGGGGTTTCCCCTTTCTAGCCTACTGATCAGTTCAATGGTCAAAATGCAAATTTCAACGGGGGCAACTTCAATAGCTATGGACAGACTGCCATGAATGGGGTGAGTTTCATCAATCATTTCCATAAAGGCTTAGCTAGAGACTTCACAATGATGTTGAAATCTGGGGCTCAACAATTTGCAGTATGTTTTGTGTTCCTTTACTGTGTAATGATACAGTCCATCCACAGCATAGCTTTGTTCTTTTCCTGCTGATTAAAAAAGGACGCTGAATTTAATTATGTCCCAGGTACATGAGACCATAACCCTTGTATGCCATTTTAATTGGCCTAGAATTGCTTTCATCACTGTACCTGGTGCATTTGTTTGCTAACACCGGATATCCCTGCCCACCACCAAGTATTGAAAGGCTGGACAAAGAAATGTTCTTCTTCATGGTCTCTGTGCATCATACGCAAAGCTCAGTGTCACAAGGTGGGCAGGAGCCCTGCCCTGCCCCTTCTGGAGGAATAGATAAAAGGGGCGGGGGGGGCACCCTGTCCCTCAGTTCCTTTTCAACTGTCATGAAAGGACATGCAGTCGCCTCACTGAAACGGAACTTCTGCTTTTCTTTACTTAACAGCTCACACTTCTCTTGTTTTCCTAAAGAGAGAGAGAGAGATTTATCAGATATTCTTCTTTACTATTTCTATCATCCATCTCTCTCTCTCTCTCTTTGTTCCTGGGGGACAAGCAAAAGCTCTTCTTCCACTCTCTTCTACACTGAAATAAGTATCTTCTCCAGGATGTCAGCAGCAGGTGTCCCTGACTGGGACTGCATGCTTGGGACTTCACATAATCATATTGACCTGACAAGCACAAGAAGAGTCATGCTGGATCAGTCCAGGGACCACCTAGACCAGCATTCTCTACACATAGTGACCAACCAGCTGACCTTAGGAAACCCATGAACAAGACGCGGGTGCAACAGCACCCTCCCTACCCATGTTCCCCAGCACCTGGTGTACATTGGCATGAGGCCTTTGATACAGAGGTAGCAGAAAGCTATCGGTACTAGTAGCTATTGATAGCCGCCTCCTTCAGGAATTTGTCCAGTCCCATTTTAAAGCCATCCAAATTGGTGGCCATCTCTACATTTTGTAGCCCTGAATTCTTTAACTTACCTTTACACCATTTGAAAAAGCCCTTCCTTTTATCTGACCTTATCCTGTCAGCTTCAGGGAAGGACCCCTTTGGGTTCTAGAGTTAAGAGAGGGAGAACAGAGTCTCCACACAAGGCATAATTATTTCTTCCTTGCTCATATTTTTTCTAAGCTAAGCAATCCCAGGAGTTATAACCTTTCTTCATGGGATGGTGAGTCGCATTCATTTCAAGGGGTTTAGTCTGAACAGAGATTATGTTGGACTGTATCCAACACTTTCAGTTTGTGCCCTGGGGTGTTTAATTATCCTAGTGTTCTGGTTTTCCTTTCAGCCTGGAAGATCTATGCCTGGCTACCCGAGCTCTCCACTGCCTGGCAATCCCACCCCTCCAATGACACCTGGAAGTAACATCCCTCCATACATGTCCCCTGGGCAGGATGTGAAGCCGCCCTTCCTTCCCGACATAAAACCAAACATCAGCTCTTTGCATCCCTCTCCCTCTGGTAAGTCTTACGTGTGCAGGGCGGCTCTTGAGTTCCGATTGAATTATATCTGTGCCCACAGGGCAGACAGAGCGGGGCAAGGGAAGCCATGGGAAGGCCTCCCACGACCTGTAATCTTACTCCTTCCAGCCCATTAGTGTGCAGGGCTACAAATACTCCTCTCCTATGTAGTAGGAGGTTGACCCAGTGAATCCAATGTTAATGTTTGTGATGTTTGATGTTTTTGTTTTAGTCTTAGTTTAAAATTTATATATATATATATATATATATATATATATATATATATATATATATAAATAAAATAAAAAATAAAATACTCCTCTCTTTCCCAGGGTTTCAAATCAGATGGCTTCCCTAGGTGATTCCTAGAGTTTTAACTCAATTCCAGTTCTGAATTGCTAAAGGTGTTTCTGTTCATGCAGTCATTCAATGACCCTGGATGAGAAATAGGGAGTTACATTAATGTATTTTTTCTATATTAATGTTCAGAAAAGGTGTTATCATCAACTGCTTTGTGCCTCTGGTGGTATGCTTAAATTAATTTGCTTCCTTGGGCATTCACGAAACACGGGCTATGGCAGCTCCTCTGATAGGATCTTCCTCTGGCCTGGCCTATGTGCTACCTGCTTGCTGGAATCCTTTCACTCAAGTGGAACTATAGTGCGATGTCTGAGTGCTCCTATTGAGAGTGCCAGCCAGGTATCCCCCCTTTCAGGATAGTAATCAGATGGTTTCCTGGACTGTACCATTCTGTGCAGTAGGGCATGGATGTCCCCAACACACACAGATCTCTCTACATAGGAAACATGTATATCGGTGGGAAAAGTTTGATATGGCCTTCTCTTTAATGTACAGAAAATTTTTCCCTGGAATAACGTTCCAAAAGGCAATGTCCATTCCCACAAATACATATACATGCACACACTGGTAGCCCAGAGTGGTTCAATTCAGGACCATCTTTACAGAATCATAAAATCATGGAATAGTAGAGTTGGAAGGGACCAGAGGGCCATCTTTTTCAACCCCCTGCTCAGTCAAGGACTCCCTCTTAGTTTAACCATCCCTCTCAGATCCTGCTGAGTTTAGACAATGGTTAAATTGTGGAAGATCTGATTCCATTTGGAGAACAGTGGAATTTTGGCGACCAGATGATTCCACAGCAGATAAGAAGCGACCGTTGGCTGCCTGACCTGGATGGGAGAGGGTACTTAGGGGCCCCATGAAGTCGCAGTGGGTGAAGTCTTGGGTGGATGGGTGGGGGTCAGGAGATTCTTTCCTTGGATGTTTGGGAAATTCAGCATCGTGAGCGAGCAGAAGGAGATGAGTTTTCTGGAGCCACAGAAGGACACCGGACAGGGGCAAGGTCTGCTCTGTGCACTGCCTGCCGGCTCATCTCACCTGTCGGCTCCTTGCTCTGCCACTGGACACTTGTCATCACTTACTGTCTTTCTGCAGCCTGATCAAGCAGGCAGCTTTGCCGGCATTTGCCCCTCTGCTATGCTTCCCAGCGACGGTGACCTTGTGCTTCCACCCATCACCCATCCTCTCTCTTATTTCACCCTGCCAGGTAACCCTTGCGACGAGCTGCGTTTGACGTTCCCCGTGCGGGATGGCGTGGTGTTGGAACCCTTTCGCCTCCAGCACAACCTGGCTGTCAGCAACCATGTCTTCCAGCTCAGGGACTCGGTGTACAAGACTCTGATGCTCAGGTGAGAGAACCGTCCTCCTCCGCTCCTTGTGCCACAGTGTCTCTCGTTACAGTCGGGGCAGGGAGCTTGCAGCCCTCCAGGTTTTTTGGCCTACAACTCCCATCAGCTCTAGTCAGCATGGTTCATGATCAGGGTTGTAGGCTAAAACATCTGGGGGATAGAAAACCTTTCTCGCCCATATTTTTCCCCACAGCCCTAGTCTGATATTTCTTTTCTGAAGCGTGATCAGATGCTTTTGGGCAACAATTCATTGCATTTTTACAGTGGTTATTTAATTGGCTATGTTTTGAAAATGTTTAGGTCATCTTTTCTGTGCTTTTAAAACACATTGCTAAAAATAGCTATATAAAAGCCCAGGAATGGTAAAGGGGAAAACTAAACCAGGGAACAAGGAGGGGGGATGTCCAAGTAATTTTTTTCTCAGTTGGGGAACATGGAAATGGGGAAACCCCCATAGGGGTGCGAACAGAGGAAGTATCTTCTCCTGCACAGTGGGTCGCCAGAGCATCTTCACCGCCTTTGTGAACTATGAGCAGGGGCAGTGAGGAGCTGCGCTCTCAGCATGCTCCCTGCATGCTCGCATACCTGCCCCTTCATCCCTGCTCCTTGTTCATGAAGGTGGAAAAGACACTCCAGTGACCGGCTGCTCAGAAGAAGAACGCCCCAAGGAGCAGCTCCTCCTCTTCCCCTCAATGATGGAGGGGGAAATGGTGGTCCCTCGTGTGCAGGGGGATGAGGAGCTGCCTAGAACTGCAGCTGCAACCCTCCTGGGACCCCACGCTGGTGCGCCCTCCCCTCCAGGACCTTGAGGCAGCCACGGCAGCACAACGAAAGACACTCATGAAAGAGGACTTCCTGAACGGCTTCAGGAAGTGGCAAGGATGGCGGGATAAGTGTGTTCGAAGCGAGGGGGAATATTTTGAGGGGGATTAATATTTTACTGTGATTTTTTTTATTTAAACCTGTAACAAAAAATAAAGCAAAAAAAAGCACTGAAAATGCATGCACTGAAAACACAAGAGATGACTTGGGTGCACAACAGATGACATTTTTGCCGCAACGGCATTTTTTTCACTTCGCTTGCAGTTCGAACATCGGAACATTGTTCAACCTGCGGAGCTATTTTATCTCAACTCTAACATTTGAACTCTCGATCGTTTGAAGTTAGAGTCATTTGAACTGCAAGGCACCACCGTTCATGTCTCTTGCGTATAGTGCAACTCCATCTCCCATTTAGTCCCCACATGGAAGAGAAGGAAGGGGTATTTGTCAGTGGATTGTATGAGATGCGTGAACTTATGAGTTATATCTTATTGGTCATCAGCTTCTGTTGCCTTAAGGCAAGGGTGGGCAACTCTGGGAGTTCTATAAAGGCTACTTTCAGCCCTGGGGTGGAATGGCAGCAGAACAATGGCTATGTAGCTTGTTTTAAAGCTAAATTTGGGGGTTTCAGACTATTTTTGTTTGCTGCCACAATTTGGTGGCCGACAGCAGATAGTTTTGACTTTGCTCCCTCCAGGGTCAGCACAGCTGAATGCAGCCTGTAGAAAGCATCTTGCCCAGCCCTGCCTTTAAAGAATCACCCTCTGCCCTTTTTCTGCAGGGACAAGTAAAATATTCCTAGTCTGGTATTTCCCAAGAGAAGAGCAAAAAAGGGAACATGCTGGAGTTCAAACCAAACGGGAAGCCCTTGCTTAGCTCCATCTGTGAGATTCCTGCTCACCTCCCTCTCTGCCCCTTTTTGCCTGCCCCAGGTACACTCCTTGTTCATCACGGAACTGCAGTGTTTTTCAAATGTATCCAATGTTTTCTTCCCGCTGTCTAGGCCTGACTTAGAGCTGCAGTTTAAGTGCTACCACCACGAGGACCGGCAAATGAACACCAACTGGCCAGCCTCAGTCCAGGTCAGCGTGAATGCCACGCCCTTGACCATTGAGCGGGGAGACAACAAGACTTCACACAAACCTCTCTACCTAAAGCAGGTGTGCCAGCCTGGAAGAAACACCATCCAGATCACTGTCACTGCTTGCTGCTGTGTAAGTGCTGCCTGGTTTTGAGAGATCCCCGGTTCCCTGCGGCTGCATTGAGTCCGCTGTTGAGTGCCTCTGTCTTACCCCAGAGAAAGCCTCAAACAACAGTGGTCCCGAGCCACACCCTGCACTGTTTGTGCAGATTTCGGATTCCTGTGGAACGTCCAGCAGGTGTTTTGCTAATCCAGTTTTCTGTGCTGTAAAAAGCTCTTACACCCACTGGCTCTTTGAATACCGTGCCTGAATTTAGCATTAGAAAGAGCTATATGCAATGCTCTGACTAATGGTGCGCATCGCTGTGGGAGCTGCTCAGAGCACAGAATCTGATGTTGCCCACTAGAAGTCCACCAGCTTCTTGATGTTTGACAGTACACTCCGCCCCAGTGGGCTTGTTCATTTCTCTAGCCACCTGGCTAGAAAAGTGACTCTGAGGATACTGAATACCATACAGGAGATTGGATCCTGAATTGGGTCATTGTGGTCACTGATGTTGAATAGACAATCATGCCTGTAACCCACGGCCTTCTAGCACTTGGGAGAGGGGTGGTGTAATGGGTAAAGTGGTGGGTTTCCTGTAAAAAACAGTGAGTCTTCCCTAGAATAACTTATGTTGGATTATGTTGGATTTTACCACCTTACTGACTAGAGGTATCATCAAGGCTTGCACCTCCAAAACCTCCCTTTTGAGTGCTATCCACCCCTCCTCAACTTGCTTACCTTCCAGTAACCTATCCCAGGAGACTTTCCCCAGTCTGGCCTTCAGTTGGCCAAAGTTGGCCCTCTTGAAGTCCCAGCTTCTAGTGCTCGACCTGCTGCACGTCCCCAGTCCCCTGATCTCAAAGCAAAGGATGGAGTGATCACTCGCATCCAGAGCTCCCCTAATCTGTACTTCATCTATCAGCTCCTTCCTACTGGTCAAGACCAAGTCAAGGATGTTTCCCCCCCTCGTCGTCTCTCGGACCCTCTGTGTGAAAAACCCTCCCTCTATAGCTTCTAGGAAGTGACGTGTCCTGGCTGTCACCGCCGAGTGAGTCTCCCAACTAATATCCGAGAGATTGAAAGCTCCTATAATTACTGTGTCTCTCCCCCAAGATATCCTTAGAATCTGTCCTGTCAGGACATCATCCAAGGTCTCAAGTTGACCTGGAGGGCAATAACATACCCCCACTGTCAGGTCTCTTTCCCTGTCAAAACCCCTAAGTTTCACCCAGACTGCCTCTAGCGAATCCCCATCTGTGCTGCATTCTATCTCACTGCATCCTATCTCTTCCCTGACGTGTAAAGCCATGCCCCCACCTCTCTTTCCCTTCCTGCCCTTTCTAAAAAGGTGATACCCTTCTATGTTCACATTCCAGACTTGCCTTTCATCCCACCAAGTTTCTGTGATTCCCACCAGGTCATACCCTCCTATTCTCAGGAGAGCTTCAAGCTCTTCCTGCGTATTACCCATGCTCCTAGCATTGGTGTACATGCACCTCAACTCCTTCCCACCACTTTCTTTCCTTGGCATTCCCAGCCTCCTCCTTCCTCCCATCCTCCCTGATACCTGGCCCCTCTCTGGAGGAGTCCTGTCAGTCCCTGCAGTATCTCTAAAACCCTGCTCCCAGAGCCCTGATCCTCCCCCCACACTTGTCCAGTGCAGACACATTACTGGGGGGCCTGAACCGCCCCCCCCCCAGCTCAGACGAAGCTCGCTAGAGCATCTCCAAAGGACCTTTTCCCCATTCTCGTGAGGTGTAACCCGTCCCTTGCCGGAAGTCCATTGGCAAAAAACCAAGTGCCGTGGTCGAGGAACCCGAAGCGTTCCTTTTGGCACCACACCCTAAGCCAGTCGTTCACCTCGAAGACCCTCCTGTCCCAAATCCCCGGACCGGTAAGATCGACGAGAAGGCCACTTGGGCCTTCAGCTCCCTGAGTTTCTTCCCCAAGGCCTCAAAGTCCCTGGTGATCCCAACCACACCCTGCCTGGCCACGTCTTTGGTGCCCACATGGATCACCAGGAGCGGCTGGTGACCCCCGGAGCGAACAAGACGCTCCACTCTGTCCTTCACATGCCGGATGCGTGCGCCCGGCAGGCAGCAAACCTCCCTTGTCTCCAGGTCGGGGCGGCACACTGCCGCCTCAGTGCCCCTCAGCAGGGAGTTCCCAACAACAATCACCCGCCGCCACATCTTCCCGGGTTTTCAGTTGACAGAGAGCACAGTTTGTGTGCCAAAGGACCCAGCTTTGGTCCAGCTTCTCCAGAGACAGCAGGAAAAAGCTCCCGCATGGAATCTGGAGAGCTTTCGCCTGTCGGTATCAACAGGAGGGCTGATGGACCACAGTTCTGACCACAGTTCCCAAGGAAGTCTTCTGTGTTCTTCATTTCCAAGCACACCATGCCCTTGTGCAGACGCAGGATCTTATTCTGCCCGACTGACCTTCTCTTTTTCCTTCTTTTCAGTCTCACCTGTTTGTCCTGCAGCTGGTGCACCGGCCTTCTGTGCGGTCTGTTTTGCAAGGCTTGATAAAAAAGCGGCTGCTGCCAGCTGAGCACTGCATCACCAAAAGTGAGTGCGAGCTCGTTTGCTCCTCTGCTGCCTGTAAATTTTGTGACTGGGCCCAGCAGGCCAGAATCCTCACTCATGCTTCTTTAAGGGAGTGGAGTTTAAGGGAGTGGATGGCTCTGCCTGCCTGGAGAAGGAGCTGCTGCTGCCACACAGCAGAATGTCTGCCGTATCTTCTGTGCCGGCTCGAGAAGGGGTGGAAATGCACGACTGGAACATTTAAAAAGTGGCACAGGCACGGCAGACAGCGTCCTTTGAAACATTCCTGGTGGCGACCGATCCAGGACTGGACCATGTGGCAAGAAGGGAGCCTCCTGTGCAGTTGCTCTTTCCATGGATTGAAAGGGTCCCTCTGCTCCTTCCCTGTGATGCTGCCCACAACTCCAGCCCATTTCAGCCACTCCACCGGAATGTCTTTCTTGGCAAAATGGGGTCACTTTCCCATTCTCCTCAACTGTGCCTTAACTCCCAGGCTACTCTGACCTAGTGGTCCACCAGCAGAATTACAGTTAGAACATAAAAGTTTGGGGGAAACTTGTCTAGCTTTTCCTCCCACTAAGTGAAAGCACGTGTCCCAACCTTGGGCCTGCAGCTTCCATCGCTCCCAGCAATGCTGCTGTCGGCTGGGGTTGGTGTGGGTTGTAAGCCAACACATCCAAAGTGTGTGAGGTTAGGGAAAGCTGGTCTAAACCATGGTTTCAGCTCACCACCGTTCAGATTAGCTGCAGCTTCAGATTTTGACCACACACCAAACTGTTTACATCTAAAATGGAAGCTTTTCATCACCTTGCAACAATTCCAGAGGAAGAGAGGGAAAGCAAGAACCTTCATCTCACTAGATTGGCATTTATGTTCTCACAGTGCTAAACTTGGGTTTTTAACATTACAACCAAGTGTAGCCTTGTTTATGCTTCTTCAGTAACTGGTTAGTAGGTGGGGTATAAATGCTCCAAATTAGTAAAGAAGAAGAATTAATGGTGGTGAACATTCCCAGAGCTGAAAGTAGGATGCAGAGAGGCTGGTGCCATTTGTGGAGTGAAAAGCAGAGAGAATGCACCCAGAGATCCAAATACTCTGAAGTGCAAGAGAGCCAGACAATGTGGACAGTGGGGCTGGGCTGCTGGAATTCAGGACTGCTACAGACAAGAGCGGGTCCTTTGGGTTACCTCTGGCAACTTTCTTTCCTGCTTCTCTAGAAAGCTTTACAGCAGCCTTCCCTGAGCACCTGACCCTAGATGTGTTAGAACATGAGTTACAGGAGCTGTAATCCACCATAACTGATGGGCACCACGTTGGCAAAGGCTCCTTTGCCTCGTTCCACCATCAGTTTCTCCCTGCTGGTTAACAAATGAGCGTGCTGTTTTTGCCCAACACCATTTCTCCTCTCGATGTTTAGTAAAGCGAAACTTCAGCAGCGGCACAATCCCCGGGACTCCAGGCCCAAATGGCGAAGATGGGGTGGAACAGACCGCCATCAAGGTTTCTCTGAAGTGCCCCATCACCTTTAGGAGGATCCAGCTTCCTGCAAGGGGCCATGATTGCAGGCACATACAGGCAAGTGTCTGATGGTACTCCACGAGCCGTGTCTCCAAAGAGGCCTAGCTGAGGTCGCATAGACGTCAACCACGCCAGCCACGCAGTGGCTTTAGCACAGGGGTAGTGAACCTGTGGCCTTCCGGATTGTGTGTGACTAGAACTGTCACCATCCCTGACCATCTGTGGATTCACGTCTTCCCCCTCCCCAGATTATTACTTAAACTCCCCCTTTCCCCCCAATGGCCATGCTGGCTGGGGATTGTGGGAACTGTAGTTGCACCCTGCAGAAGGCTGCTCTAAAGTGAGAAAAGAGATGATCTTTCATTTTTGTTGTTACAAGGTGTAACCCATGTAAGTGATATAGCCCTCAGATCCAGAATACACCTCCTCAAGGGGCAGGATAAAGATACGGAAGAGAAAGGGACAGATGAACAAAGGAGTGGGAAAGGGAACATTAAGCTGATTGGCAATTAAGATTGACCATTTTTCTTAATTATGTGTACCCCACTCCACATTATTTACAAGCTTTTATGAACACGTGATTCTGCCATCTCTGTTCCTTGACTATTCTTAATACACGTGGGGCTATTGAAGTTAAGAAAGTGAAATAACTGAAGAAGTTGGTCCCAATACTATCATAAGGAAGGGAAAATTGGGAAAGTTCTCCTGGGCCTTTCTGAGGTCACGCAAGTCCTAATTATTGCCCCCGTATCTGAAGTCTTTAGGGTAACTTGCAGCTTTTGATACCTACTCTCTGTCTGTGTTTTCTGCTTAGTGCTTTGACCTGGAGTCTTACCTGCAGCTCAACTGTGAAAGAGGGACGTGGAGATGTCCTGTTTGCAAGTAGGTATTCATGGTTAGGGCCTGTGTCCTTTGTGGAAGGAGGCAGAGTTTTAATATAAACAAGAATGGAGTACATCACTGGGAAAGCAGCGTAAGGACCTGAGGAGAGCCCTGCTGTGGTCCCATTTGATCTGGCATCTTGTATCCCCACAAGAAACCAGCTAATGAGCAAGGGACTGGAAGAACTTAGCTGTGAGAACAAGTTACAGTATCTGGAATATCAGACTTTTTCAGTTAGGGAAAAAAGATGGAGGGAGACATGAAACAAAACAATTCATGGTGTGGAGAGAAGGAATAAAAAGAAGTTTCTCTGCCACAATACTAGGATTCATGAAACTGAATGGTAGGAGTTTTGGAACAGATAAAAGAAAGGACTTCTTCAAAGAATGTATAGATAACTTAAGGAACTTGCTATCAAAAATATTGTAATGTTCACCACCTTGGACGGTTCTAGAAAAGGATTGGACAGATGCCTAGCGTGGAAGGCTATCCATGGCTACTGGCCCTGACGGCCGCATGCCACTTCCAGGGTCAGGGGCACTGTACCGCTCCGCAGCACCTGCTGGGGGACGTCATACGTGGGAGGTTGCTCTTGCACTCGTGTGTGAACAGAATGCTGGGTTGGATGACCCTTTGGTCTGGTCCAGCAGGAATCGTTTGTATTTACGTTACATTTATCTGCATGGCCAGTTTTGAAGTATGTCCTGCATCGCTCAAAGTGCAAGCCATCAGTTAGCCTGATTCAGCATGGAGGCAAGAGCCCTTCTCTGGATAGTCGTGGCAGACGTGGCTTCTTCTTATTTAATTATTTACACTGGGCAAGTAAACAGTAACACAAATAAACGAATAAGAGCAATGCATTAAAAGCAAGATAACATTACATTTGGCTTCATGGAACAAAGGTGCTTTCAGCAGGTGCTGGAAAAAAATGCATTGCTGGAGCTTGCCTAAAATCCACAAGCAGTGAGCGCCCTCGATTTGGAACGCTCTCTCTGAAGGCTGTTCTCCCGGTGGACTCCAGCCAGGCCACAGGGCTATGTGGAGCGACCGGGAGAATCCCCTCTGGTGGCTTCAGCAACCACTGGTAAAGCATCGCAGGCCAGCGTCTCAGCCTTGCCCCCAACCCGGTAATGTCAGTTCCTCGAGCCGGCTGGTTTACCTCTCTCTCTGTCTTGTGCCCTTGCTTGTGTCAGATAGCTTGCTGACCTTGAGCAGCAGGGCCTTCTACTTGGGAGCGTGCATCAGGGTGGGGCGTGTGAAGGGGAAAGACGCTGGTGAGAGCCTTTGCAGAGAGGCAGTCAGAAACACGGGTGAAGCCTCGGGCCAGTGCATTCCCTGAGTATTGCTAACCACTGCTCTTGCCTGCTCTTGTGCTTTGTTCTCAGTAAAACAGCTTTGCTGGAGGGGCTTGAAGTGGATCAGTACATGCTGGGAATTCTGATCTATATTCAAAAGTAAGTCTCATAGCTTTAACGATTCCTCCAGTCTTGTGGAAACAGTTCCAGGGTCAAGTCAGGCTGTGTAGATAGTAACTTATTCCTGCCACCAGAGGGGAGACAAGTACTACTTGTGTTGCCCCCAGCTTACAGTCACCAACCTTCTGTGAAGTTGAGCCGAGATTGATAAGTTGATTGATTTTATTATATTTACACCCTGCCTTTTTCCCTTCAAGATCAGCCTTCTCCAGCCCAGTGCCCTTCATTTGTAGCTATCACTGGTTGGGACTTACGGAAGTTGTGGTCTACCACCATGACCTGTTGAGGAAGGCTGAAGGAGATGACACCCTCTAGACTGGGAAAGGAGTCGAGCGAGGACTCCATTGAAGGCAGGCAGCTGTGGGAAATGGCCCTAGAGAAACCCAGTCACTTCCCCTTTGCCAGGATCACAGATCCTGAATCCAAAGAGGTCAGTGGATAACCCTTTCTCAAGAGAGTGCCAAAGGAAGAGCCGGCGTGAGACAGTCTTGCAGTAGAACAAGGGATGCGTGATGAAGCATAGAGGGAGACTCTGGGCCAGCCATTCCCTCTGGGCCTACCCCTCCTCACAGGGCTCTTGTAAGAGTAAAATGCATGAGGTGTGTGTGTGGGGGGGGGATCTTCCTTTTGCTCCTCAGAGGAAGAATGGGATACAAAGGTAGTTAATTTGATGAATAAAGGTTGACTCAGGAGCCACCAATGTTTCTCATGAGCTTTGTTGGTGAATGACAAGTTGCTGCCCTTAGACCAGGGGTCTCAAACTCGCGGCCCGCAGGCCAATTGCGGCCCGTGGGATGATATTTTGTGGCCCCCGCTTGATATCAAAGTTTAGTGATAGTGCGGCCCGCTCGTTTTTCTCACACGCACCTGCGTGAGTCGTTACCCAAATGGAGCTAATTGACCTGCAGTGCAATTCTGAACTCAAAGCCAAGTTCAGGGAGGTGAGTGGAAAAGCAGACAAGCTTGGACAATTTTTGAGAGAATTGCCCCTTACCTTCCCTGAGCTTTCCAGGATGTTCAAGCGGACCATGTGCCTTTTTGGGAGCACCTATCTGTGTGAAAAGCTCTTCTCCACCATGAACTTTAATAAGTCAAAGTTCAGGTCCAAACTTACTGATGAGCATCTTCAAGCCATACTGAGGGTCTCAGTTGCTTCCTCCCTCAAGCCAAATGTGGCTCAGCTGCGTAAGAGGAAGCGCTGTCAGGTCTCTGGCAGCAAGGAGTAGGAGGAAGTAAGAGAAGCCTATGTTCTGAAGAACCGTTCATGTTCTGAATTATTATTAGTAAAGATCGAGAGGATTGGATAAGTTGTACTTTTTTTGGAATACTTGAAATCCTTTTTTTGTGGAATACTTGATGCGGCCCAGCCTCACCCACACTCTACTTCCAGCGGCCCCCAGGTAAGTTGAGTTTGAGACCCCTGCCTTAGACTGTAAGCGCCAGGAAGATCCATTCTGGGATAAAAAGTGGCCCTGGTAGATGGGCTTCAACAACCTTTCCCCACCCCAAAGGGTACCAGAAACTGTTGGAAGGCAGGTGGTACACTCAGAAGAGTTTGGAGACTGTGGTCATCCAGATTCAAATCCATGCCAAGCAGCAAAGATCTCGGAGCACCGCTATTCTCTGCCTATCTTCTTCCGCAGGGTTCAGTGCCGGAGTCAGCAGTGCGGTGCCAGTGGGCCCCTTCCACAGTGCCGTGAAGTTTTCCCATCTCTGCTCCCTTCAGAATTGTTTTTACTAAAAATGCAAAAAATGTTAGTGCAGCAGGTTCTCCTTCCTGTTCTTGAACCCACCAAGGATTAGCTGTTCAGCACACAGAAAGAGAAGGAAACCGTTGCTTCCTGGCCCCACCTAAAGCTCTTCCATCCCAGCAGATCTTTCCTTTTTGCTGCTCTCTCCCTTTCTCCATTCCCAGTTCTCTGCCCAGCTGCTTTCCCCACTGTTCTTCTCAACTCTCTGTCCTTAGCCGCCACCTTTGTTTCCCTTCCTAGCTTCAAGCCTTCCTATTTCTCTCCCACCCACTCCTTTACGTCACTGTTCCTCACCACTTCGTGGCTTCCTACTTCCTCTCCCTCCACCTTGCCAATCCCCGTTCCCTCCACCCCTCTAGCCTCACTTTCTCTCCTCCAACCGTCTTCTGACTAGCCAGGCCACCGTGACATCCCTTACACGACCAGCCACATCTTCCGCGGGAGCTATTTTGTGGCAGCATCCACAGCTCAGACTTTCAGAATCCCAAGCACAGAGTCCTGAAGTATCTCTGTGAACAGTCCAACATGCATTTATTTATTTATTTTAAACCCAATTTCCCCACTTGGCCGTGGAGTTGCGATGAAGGCCATTTGCCAACGTAATCACCCTATGCCAGTGCTGCATCTTGAACTGAGAGAGCCCTGAGCAGAGCCCCTCTGACTAACCAGAGGAAACAGGAGTACTTGCGTTTAGTTGTGGTGTTGAAGGCCACATGCATGCTCAGATGTGTGTTAGAAGCAACTGTCCTAGTGTTTCTGTTCCCTTCCTCCCATCCATGACAACAACTGGAAAGAAGTGCGGTATCTTCACTTTGATCCTCAGTGGTACAGCCTCATGCAGCCTGGAGCCAAAACTAGCTCCTTGTTTTTGTTTGTCTTATTTAAGGAATTTATACCTTGCTTTCAATAAGGTCCCAAAGTTCTTGATTTCTTTCCCCTTCCCCTCATCCAATCCATTCCTCTCTTCAGAAGAATAAGTCAGCATACTTCCCAGTGTCCTGCTGGCCCCAGAGATCCTGCCACCCCAGTACTGGCAGAATACAGAGCTGGCCCATCTAGCATTCCCTTCTGCCATTTGGGTGGCTCATGCACCCCATTTTTCACTGTGGGGAGAAGGAAAAAAGCCCACTGCTTGACCTAAACGAGAAAGAACCGGGTCAAGCCTGCCAGGCACAAGCTGGGGGGTGTCCTGGCCTCGGTGTCGTGTCCCCATGCCTCTGAACACTGCCAGTGACAAATCGCTGAGCAAATAAAGATCAGCAAGCAACACAGATGTGCAAGCCGCAAGGGCTCATGTTCGTGTCTGGGCTCGTCTCGGTGTGGCACCCTGGCCCTTTTTAGGTCTGGTTTTAGACCAGCGTGCACAGCCTTCCCAGTCCTGAGATTGGCGCGCCCAGAGATCATCCTGCAGCTGCGGAGGCCTGCAAGGAGCAAAAGCACTTGGAGTGGTGCTCAGCAACACGGATGTTTTTGTCTCAGATGAGCACGGTTCTCAGTGTCATTAAGTAGCCTTCCCCAGTTAGTTGTCTCCCAGTTAGATTTGGCAGCCACTCCCAGCGTCCCCAGCCATGATGCATGGGGCTGGTGGGACTTCTCTCTTGTTCCGTGTCAGGAGCAAGCACAAAGTGGAGCCGGCACGTCTCTTGCACAAGCTCGCAAGAGCAGTCGCTCCAGGGCAGTCCGCATGGGCCCTGAGCTGTTTCCTCCTGGCAAGGGAAGCTGGCCTCTCCCAGCTCGGCCGGCTTGGTGTCAACCTAGCCCAATCTCTTCTACACCAGGGGGTGCAGCTTGTGGCCCTCCGGATGTTTGGCCTAAAAGTCCCATTATCCCCAGCCAGCATGGGGGGTGGTGAGGGGTAATGGGCATGGCAGGCCAGATCGCCTGGAGGAGCACAAGCTGCCCACCCACCCCTGGCCATCTGCTGGCTGTGCATGTGCTTGCGAGCACTGAGCTCTGCCCCCCCCCAGGCCTCTCCTCTGACCTTTCTTCCCCTTGTCCCCTTGTCCAGCTCCGAATATGAGGAGATCACCATTGACCCGACGTGCAGCTGGAAGCCGGTGCCCATCAAACCGGACATCCACATCAAGGAGGAGCAGGACGGGCCCGTGCTGAAGCGCTGCCGCACCATGAGCCCCACCCACATGGTGATGCCCAGCGTCATGGAGATGATTGCTGCCCTGGGGCCCGGCCCGTCACCGTTTGTGCCCCTGCAGCCCCCGTCTGCCGGCAGCGGCAGCAGTGAATACAGCAGCCAGAGTGAGTTGGCGCCTGGGACGTGGAGAGCCCCCGCCTCAGGGCTTAGGAAAGCCAAGCAGCTCCTTTCCCCGAGCAAGGACTCTCTCTCGGGACTCAAGTAGGCCTCCCCAGCTGAGCCATCCCCAGCCTGGCCCCATTGGATGCTAGCGGCTCAAACTCAACTTCCACATGACGAGTGTCTCTGTTGGATGGTGGGAGTTGTAGTCCGACACTTCTGGAAGGTACCGGTTTGGAATAGGCTGCTCTGGTACATGGGTCATCGGCACCTTCTGGCCACATTTTCTTCCAGTGCACAGAGCTGGGCTTGATATGATACTACTGATTAATGCAGGTGCCACTTTGTTCTCACCGGAAAACCAGATGTGTACATACAGTGCCCTGTCCTTGGAAATTCTTGTCCTTGTGAGGAGGACAACAACTGTGATTACTAAAGGTACACAACTAAAGAACTAAAGGTACACAAAGAGGAAAGATTTAATGCCTACAGAACAGCCGTTCCTTTTGCACCGCGATTCAGCTGCGGAGCTTTTTCTTCCTTTGTGAAAGGGGATCTCTGCCTATCATAAGGGGCTAGCAGTGGAACAGCACACAGAACTGTGTCCACAGCTGTCCCTCTCTAGTATCCAAGATATTTTTCCACCTTTGTCCCTAGCACTATTGTAGGGGGAACACTATGTCTGTTCTAACTTGCACTGTGCAGTTTTTCCTCCACCCCCACTTTTTCCAAATTGTTTGAATTTCTTTTTGCAGGTTCGAGCTTTTCTGGTCCTGGAACTTTCCCCGATTCCTTCCCTACGGTGAATCCTGGCACCCCAACATTAAATGAGTTCAACCCAGGACCTCCCACAATCTCATACCAGCCTGACCTCCCCAGCAATCTGCTGACTCCGGAAAAGCCACCGGCTCCCTCCATCGCTGGGCAGGTCAGCAAAGATCTCTCGGAGTGGGATGGGGAATGGTGGAGGTCATGGAAGCAGTGAGGAGGCAGCTGTTTGCCAATACTAGGTCCTTCTTGGATATCACCCCCGCAGCTGTCTTAGTTTAAAAAAACCTCTGAGTTTCTCCCTTCTCTGTGCACGTCAGATAAGAGTTTTGCTGCTGGAGTTTGGGGAGTCCAGAGCTTTAAAACCGGCACTGTGGGTTCCAGAAGTATATACCGTATTTTTCGCTCTATAAGACGCACCTGACCATAAGACACACCTAGTTTTTAGAGGAGGAAAACAAGAAAAAACATATTCTGAATCAAATGGGCACATAATCACAGGCACATTCCCCCTCACTTCCGCATGGGCTGCACATCTGACAGACTTACTGCACACGCATATTCGCTCTATAAGACGCACAGACATTTCCCCTTACTTTTGAGGGGGGGAAAGTGCGTCTTATAGAGCAAAAAATACGGTACATGGTTTCTCAAATACAAAAAAGAGAACTTGACAGCAAGAGGCTCAGAATCTATTTTCCCATCTTTTATCTATTCAAAGAGGGTTGTGTCTTTGTCTTAACAGCCTCAGAAACAAAGAAGCCTTAGAGGAGTTTCTCAAGTCTCAATTTCCAGAGATCATGAACATAAAACCATCGATTTCCACACATATCATGTGACAGCCATATATTTGGGCCACAGTTGTGAATAAGATTCGGCTTGTGGTTCCCTAGTATGGCCACGAGGGGGCATTGTAGACATTGCTTGAGCCTATTAATGCTCTTTTACCATGTAGTCCCGTGTTTTTCCATTAAGGGAGCCCGAGAGTTCCCCAGAAGCCTACTAGGGAAATTCTCAATAGAAGATCGGTAATGATACAAAGAGCTTCCACAAAAGCTTTTCCATCTCTACCGGTTCCCTCAAAGGAGAAGCTGCTGGAAAGCATTTGACGTGCTGCATTCTTGATTCATGACAACAAATATGAACTATGAGCATGTGAATTCTCTGCAACACAGCAAGTGTTCTGGGCCGATGCCAAGTGGTTCTTATCAGGCAGCTTGATGTGGGCAGCATTCACCAAGCCAGACACCTGGAAAATCCCTGCCCGCCATCTCTTGCGGACTTGGGAACAGCTACTCTTCGTTCAGAGGCTCTTCCCCCATTTTCGCTCCGTGGAATGAACTGTGGTGCTCCAGATGTTGTTGGACTGCAGCGCTCGCTCATCAGCCTTAGACCTGCATAGGCAAGGGTTGATGGGAGTGGCAGTCCAGCAGTGCTGGAATGTAAAATGAGCTTGTTTAGATCCCGTCCAAGGAGGTCACAGTCAAAACAGAAAAATACAATTGGTTCAAAAAAAAAAAAAAAAAAAGCAAAGTTAAAAAAAATCATAACAAATAGAGCAATTCAAATATCAAAAACAATAGAATTTAAAGAAACAATTTCAAGAAATCTATTAGGTAGCACAATTTGTTTTAAAATGCAGATTAAAAGCAAAGTGCAGTAGAAAAATAACGGGAGTGACTTTATGGGGCCCTCTAGCTTTCCCTCTGGTCCCCTTTCTTGCTCTTGGATGAAGGAGGGTGACGTGCATTCTCCCCATGCAGGGACAAAATGCACATCTTCTGCCAGAAACAAGATAGGGGACCTCCTCCCCATACAGTCACAGCTGTGACACACACACATCTAATACCCTCCCCTGGCAATGCTCCTGAGGGTTTCTGTTTGTGCCTTCTTTGGTTGTGCAGATGCCTCTGCCCAACAGGATGGATCCTTCTTCACACAATCCCGTGCAGCAGGGGCTGAACAACCCCAGCCTTGGTAGTCAGCCTGGGCAGCAGCAGCAGCAGCAGCAGCAGCAGCAGCAGCAACAGCAGCAGCAGCAGCAGCAGCAGCAGCAGCAGCAGCAGCAGCAGCAGCAGCTCCACCACCGGAACCCACCCACCCCACAGTCGAGGCAGCCATTAGGACAGTCGGGCGCAGCAGGACAGGCACACGGAGGGGAACTTGCCTTCAATCCTGGCCCGGGGATGGGTGGGGCACCTGGAGCTGTGGACGGGCCCGAACCTTCCCTTGATGTAAGTAGCATGGCCCTTTTCTCCCTGGCGCACTCTCATGGCTGGGAATTCCCTCTCCTCTGGCTTTCTCCTCTCAACTCTGTCTAGCCTCATTCTGAAAGCCCCTTTGGCTCACTTGTCGGAACCAAACAGGGCTCGCTGTAGAGGAGCTGGGTCCTTGAAGCTCTAAAGAAGGGCCAAGCCGGTGTCGTAGTTCAGAGTGTGGCTCTGGGACTCAGACAACTTGAGCTCCCACTCAGCTATGGAGCCAGTGGGTGGCTTTGGGCCAGGCACGGGCTCTCAGCACAGGATGGTTGGTATAGGGATAAGCTCAAAAGCAGCTGGAGGAGAGTGATGTCAGCCACTTTGGGTTCTTCATAAGGGGGGGGAAAGAGGCAGGATATTGATTAATGGGTAACAGATATATAGGAGCAGTTGCCCGTCCCTCATTGCCACCTTGCAAAACATCCCTGCCACCTTTCACGGGGATGTCAACCTTTTTCAGCCGAGGGCCAGATTCAGTGTCAGAGAAGCTTACAGGGCCCGTATTCCAATGCTGAGCAGGCAGAAAAGAACAGGACCAAAAGTACCGGCATGTTTTACCTTATGATTCTTTCTGCCAGTAGCTAAGCCTTAAGACCTTCTAGAGCAGAGGGGGAAATGTACAAAAACTGGAAAACCATCAAATGAACCATGTTTGGGGGAGGGCCAGGGAAGGGACATGGCCATTTACGGAACCTCATGTGGCCAAATGTGTCCTATACACCTGAGATTGTCCTACACGGATCAAAGGAATTCATTATCCTAAGATGTGGTAATAAACACCAAATCAGATGGGAGTTAGAAGGGACTTAGAAAGCTGTCAGTGGCTCCTCTCCATAATGGCCAGGGGAAGGGGACGTGGCTGCTAAATGCCTGTTGCTAGGGGGGAACAAGAGCAGAAGGGGGTGATTCCTCTCCTGGCCGCCTCTGAGGCATTTGATTGGCCACTGTGAGAAAAGGAAATTGGACAAATTAGGCCTTTAGTCTAATCCTGGCAGGTTTTTCATGTGTTCACCAATGCAGCAAGTAGTCCTTCCTACCCTTCAAGGTCGCTAGGATGGGACAATATGCGTGCGTTGAGTAGCATACGTGGTTTCAGCTTCCCTTGCCTTCTCCCTGGGCTTTTCTGTAGACCTTGGTTCCAAAACACAGAGAGGTTTTGTAACCTGTGTTCTCCTCCTCTCTGTCCCTGTTTGTTCTCCCACTCTCTGCCTTCACGGAACATCCTGGGACACTCTTCCCTGGTTCATTACTTGGTTATTTTTAGAACCCTAACAGCCAGTCCCTGCACCCCATTAGACGTGCCAAGTCTTGGGCCAGAGCAGGGGGTACTGCATGTAATGGAACTGTCCTGCCCAGCCTCTGCCCATCTCTCTTGAATTACCAGGCAAAGGTGCTGATGCTGCCACGGCAACCTTGCGGCAGCTCATCCTAGGCTGTCCCCTTTGCCTGAGTCAGCAGTTTATGTCAGGGTCAGCTCCTCCAAAGCTCCTGCAGACTCTTGCAAAGCAAGATCTTCAGCTATACGGCCACAAGGGCAGGAGAGGTCCCGTAGGCACAGATTAGTGCAAACTGGTGCTTTGGAGATTTGGTTTTGTCAAATGAAAACTAGGATAAAGAACTCCCTAATCAAAGAACTGATTCCTACCGTGCCTCATGACTGTCCTGGCAAGCCGCAGTTCTTTGATCAAGCATCCAGGGGACCTTCGAGAACGCGGGAGCTATACTCTGGTGTCAGTAATCTGCCCACGTGCTTCTCTGCTGAGAGACACAAGGTCTCTTCCTCTCCCAAGCTGTACTTGTGAATTCATCCTGCTCCCCGAATCCATTTGAATTAAGCTCCACGGGCCAGCCCTTATTACCTGTGGCAGTGAAATCTGCTGGAAATGTCTTCTCCTTCCGGTCATCTGTGGCCTGTAAGATTGATCATCCTTCCCAGGATAGGGGTAGGCAACCTAGTGCACCTCAAGATGTTCTGGACGACATTCCCCTTATTTCCTGACTGTTGGCCTTGCCACATCTTGCAAGGGCTCTGCTTGTCCTTCCTCAGATCAACATCCTGCTGTGTCTTTGATTCTGGTCATGCTCAAAGAGGAAATGGCTAACCCCACTCTTTGTTGTTTTACCCTCAGCTTCTTCCTGAGCTGACGAACCCAGATGAGCTGCTCTCCTACTTGGGCCCCCCTGATCTCCCCAATAACAGCAATGATGACCTGCTTTCTTTGTTTGAGAACAACTGAAGCCACCCATTATGGAACACAGTCAACAAGCTCCACGCACCACATACACACATCTGCACATCACATGTAGAAACATTCACATTTCTCTCTCTCACAAACCCTGTCCCATTGCTTCCTCCGCTCTCATCAAGAGAAAGACCTTGCTTTCTATAGTGGTGGTGCCCACTGAGCCCTACCGATGAATTAGGACAGTTCTAAAGTGGCCCAAGAAACTTTGGCCAGGCAGCAGTTCCATTTTCTTAGAATTGCCTCTGGCCTACAGAAGCATTCCCATGGACGCTAGAGCAGCTGGCTTTAGTTGTTCTGGGAAATCCTTCCTGCGCAGGAGAGCAAGTGGTGCTGGTGGTGGGGACTGTTCCCAAAAATTCATTTTTAACAAGTTGCTCAGACCATGCCAACGTGCAAGGTCAGACACATGGCAGCTGTATTGTTTTGACTGATCTGCCCAAGAGACATCCTGTAAACCCACAGCCAGGGAAGGAAGAAACTGAGTCAAACAGTTTCCTGAAATTTTGGTAGAATGGATGACTCTCTCCTTTCTTGTGCACATCATTCTGGATCTGGAAAGTCTTGGAATGAAAGAATCTTCCTGGACATGTGAAGCTATAGAATGGAACTGGCTCCTCCTTGTTTATACATTTTCTCATGTTTTTAAGTCACATGCTCTGAGAAAGGGCAGAGAGACCTGCAGCATCTGGAAGAAGTACAGGGCCTACCTGTCTAGACTCCTCCATTCTGAGATGGACAAAGCAGCTGTTTTGTCTCACAGCTTCCAGCATCACGGATGTACCAGAGCAAACCAGAATCGGGATCCAAAACCTGTCCATGCTCCCTACTCCAAAGGGGTGCTTTCTGTCAAAAGAACCCCACAAGAGCTTGAGCTGGAAAACCATTTCCTCCATTTCTTTCCCATGGATTACTGTAGCAAAGGAGTGTAACTCTGGCTGAAAGCATTCTCTGGACACAGTCTGACAGACTGTCCTCCATCAGTTGATGGATCCATCTACAAGCACAACAATGTAAATAATGTAGAAACACTAAAAGGAAACAAAAGTGAGGGTGGGGGTTGAGAGGGTGGGGAGGGGAGGGGAGGGGAGGGAAAGAAATATTTAAAAGCAAGCGCATCGCTCTGTTGTATAGTCTCAGGGGCTTCCCAGCCTTGGGGCAAAAGTCCTTTGTATAAATGTGCATAAGCTTCCTAGATTGTAATATAGACCATTCCATTTGGGGGCTGCATGCACCATCCAGAGACTCGATGCCTTTAGCCATAGCTGGGACACGTCCCTTGCGTTGATGACATTTGTGTGTCCCACCAAAGTAGGATCTGGGTGGTGAGAATTAACTCCTTTTATGCCTGAGCCCCAGAAATTCAGTGCAACCAGGCAGTCCAAAACGATGTGTATGTGTGTTGACCTCCTGTTCCCCCCCATCCCGCTCAGGAACCTACGTCAATTGAGGTTGCATTTGGGATGACGGCAAAGAGATCCCAAAGGTTACCTGTCTGTGTGAAGAATCAGACCATTGTTCATGGCCGGATTTCCTGAGCCAAGGCACCGCTGTGTCCAAGTGCTGACAGCTCTATTGAGTTTTGTGTATCTTGTTTCATTATTACCATATATATATATTAAAGGATTCTTTTTGGTGGGGCTTGCCAAATAGCTTACACACTGTTGGTTTTAAAGTGGTAGTACTTGTGACACCGAGAGCAAATACATGGAAGACGGTGGATCTCTCCCAGAACTTGAAGTGCAGTGTGCTTTTTCCCATTTCCCCTTCCTGCTTAAGGAACACAAAGACAATCTATCAGTGAGCAATATCTTGCTAAAAGTGACACAGAAAGAAAAAACGGAGAACTGGTAAGCATTGCACTGCAGAGGTATAACTTTGAAGAAGGAGAAATGTTTTGAAGCTGAGATGGAAGAATCAAAAACTAATGAGAAAATTGAGTAGATATTGCAGGACTGGAGTAAAGTGTGTGTGTCGGGGGGGCGGAATCTTTCTTCAAAACCGCAGTAAGGAACTTTGCCCCTTCAGTGAGATTTCAGGTACCCCTTCCATTCTCACCAAAAGAAGCATTTTACAGTCCTAGTTGCTGAATACGGAACCTAGATTAACCTGGCCATCACAATGAATTACTGCTGTTGATGGGTTAGGCTTGTTGGCCTGCCTTGGAGAGAGAAAATTCTAGAATTCTTCTAAAACTGAAAGAGAGAACCAAGAAGGGAATGCTTAGGAGTTAGGGTTTTTCCAGCCACTCTGGGCCATCTCAAAAGCATTTCATTCTCCAACATCTGCTGTCTGAGATGCCATTGGGCTAGATGAGGAAATATTCTACTGTGGTTTAAGGCAGATTCCTATGTGTAAACTTGTATTTCTTCAATTCCCTTGTCCCTTTTCAACTGACTGTCTTACAGATTTTCCTCAAATCACCCTGAACATGTTGCATCATGAGAAGAGCATAGAGCAAAAAAGACCAATAGTTTGGCTTAGACTAAGTGGGCCACTCAGGCAAGCTGTTCCAAAGTACTCAGGACAACAGACAAAGCAGGTCTCCAATCAAAGTTTCATGCAAGATGCAGAAGGATCAGAGTTCAGCGAAACAATCGTTACTTTGCTTACAGAAAGTCCATGATTCAATTTTTGGCACATCCTCTTAAAAGGAATATACAGCATGTGATGGGAATGACTGTTCCCGGAGACTGGAGAACCGCTGTCAATCTAAAAAGGCAACACTGCAAGAGTGTACTTCCTTTTTCAGCTTTAAAAGCCACATTCAGTATTAATGTGGGGCTGTGTGTTTGTATGCACGCACGCACGCACACATCTCAGCACACAGGGATGGCAAGGTTTAAATCTCTGCTCCTTGAGATCTAGGAATTGTTGGGAGGACATGGAAACAGCAGCAGAAAAAGCTCTCAGAAAAGGAGCTGCTCGGATTTGAGGGCACAAACATCAGCAGAAGGCAGAGGGCTGAGAGAGAACTCATGCTGGGGAAATCCGTGGGTTTCAGGGGCAGCAAAACGCCCATGGGGGAAACGTATCTAAGGCGTGGGGGTGTCTTTCATGCCTTGGCAATGCGGTGATAGGTGGACAAACAGCCTGAACTGGTAGACGTTTTTTTCCGATGTTTCCATTATATTTTGTAATCCAGGAAGGAGATAATATAAGACTTTGGATACCAAAGGAATGTGATACTGGTTGGAGGGGAAGAATGAAGTGGGCAAGTCGAGCAGCACAGGAGGACTGAAAAGCCACTGGCATAAAGAGAAAGCTGACCTCTGTCCACAGAAGAAATTAATGCTGAGGACAGTAAAAACAATTTAACAACTAAGAAAAAGATGTAAGGATTCACAGGCTGGAGCAAAAGCGGTTTCCAGCTTGCTTGCTTGCTTGACTGACTGTACGAGTCTGCTTCAGAGTCTTGCTGTCAGCATTACCTTTGCAGACTCTGAATGTTCAGCTCTCTCTCATCCCATTACCAGTCCCTCACTTACCACCAGTGTTTCCCCAGAGATAGTTAGGCTTCAGCACTTGCCTGCTTTCACATGCAACCCATGAGCGAGGAAGAACCACCAGAGATTATTGTATTGACATACCAGTTCATACCTCAAGAACCACAGGTTGCCATTGGAAATCCCATGTGCCCCCCATATCGTGTCAAACATACGTCACCGACTTAACACACCAGCAAGTAATGCAGAAGATCACAGTATAACCTGTGTTGTGTTAGCCTTCTTATTTCCATGTAGCCATGTATTTGTGGTAACTGCAGCCAGCAGTGACCTTCCCATGGGTTCCTGTCATCGAGAGCACTACATCCCTTATCAGATAGCATTTAGCCTATAGCAGCAGTGATGGTGCGGAGCTATTAAATGGCATCGACCAAAGGATGAGAAAAGCGCCCACAAGATTCCTTACACCACAAACCCAAGAGGCAAACATGGTTTTAGATTCGTCAGACAGAAGAAGAAAAGAATATCTGAATATTCCCATTTCAGGCCTCTGCAAATATTGGAGCCAACCAAGAATTATTTGCAACGCATGTGAACACCTTGCTTATACAAAACAGGTTTTAATTCATAGGTCTTGCTTCTCCAGAATGTATCTAAGACATGAACCTTGGGAAATGCAAATGTTTGGCACATGTAAATGCACATGCATGCGCACACCCAGAGTGAAGAACTACCGTTTTTTCTTGTCATTAGGCACTGCCTAGGCTTCTGCGTCACCTGCTCTGCCATTCTCATCTTTCACTGCAGTGTCCTGGTTCATTCCTCCCTCCCTGCCTGGAAAAAGCAGATCTGGGTCATGCAGTACATGCGCATGCACACCTCAGGGTGTGATGTGGTGCCTCACTGAGGGGTTTTCTCATAGTCTCAGCACCCAGAAGCTTCCTACAAACAATGGAGAGCTCCTATCAGCTGCCTAGGCTGGAAAATAGTGGAAAATTCCCCTCTCTGTGCAAATCAGTTGAATAACATCCCATTGAAAGAAGAAGGCATAAGCATTTTCCAGAAGTTTGCTTTGGCTTTAAAACAAGCAAGCAAGCAAGCAAAGCTCAGGTAGCTATTAAGTGAGAAACACCAAAGCTGGGAGTATGCGCTATGTTGCTGGAGACACTGTTTGGATGTAAGAACATTAGCAGGGACATGCTGCTGATTCAGACCAAAGGCCTGTTTAGTCCAGGTTTTTGATCCACAGTGGACCACGAAATACTGCAAGGAAGCCCACAACATGACCTGAATACAAAGACATACTCTCTCATGTTTCCCAGCAGCTGGTATGGAGAGGCACATGGCTCCTGATGCAGGTGTCATTTCTTCATAAACTAGATGAGATCTTTCCAAAAAAAAAAAGTGAAGAAAATGCAGAGACAGCGAAGCCCACCCAGAGCAGTTTCAGTACTTCATAGAAGTCTGGGTTTGAATCCAGGTGTATTCAGAATCATTTGTGATGCTTAGTGTGGCCTTTTTTTTTCTCCTGGCAGGCTTGTTATCTTGAGCAGCCGCATAGGCAGGTACAGCGTTGTCATCACTGTGCTAAGAATAGCTGTA